TTCACAGTCCTGTTTCGAATAAGCCAGCCTCTTCACGATAAAAGGGGAGGGGGGCACAGAGCAGTCATAGTGTCACTGTATTGGTAGTTGCTCTAGGAAAACACAGGGACAGCTGACAAACTCCATATTGAGAGCTAAGGGTCATTTCGAAAACTGTAATTTAATTCTGATTACTAGCTCTTTGGGAATTTAACCCCTTTACTGCATTTTTTCCTTTTGTTGGTATTATTGAGGGCTTTTTTATCTTTCATTTTATTTTGTGGTTGATTTGAGGTCAGCAGTCATTTTTAGCTGCTGTCTGTTCATAGCAAAGCTTTTTTTTTTTCCTTTAAAAAATGGGCCTTTGTTTTGGGGTGGTGGTATTTCATCGGTAAGTGCAAGCAGCATGCTCGCACTTACCGATGCATTACTTACATTCTCTACATCCCTATACATAAATTAAAAAGTCAGGCATACACCAGTTCAACCTGTTATCCCGAACCTGCTGTTGGGCAATTTAACACTGCTGCATCATCTTCATAATCTTCAGTTTATCTTCAGTTTATTCCTTGCCGTAAAGCCCCAGCCTGTGCTTTTGCTTCAAATACATTTGGGCTTAACCTTGAGTCATCTGCAAGGTCTTAGTAAAATTCTAGTAGTAAACTGTGCTCTCTTTCTCTAGTATATTTTAGCCAATTCTTCTGAAAGTGCCCTGCTGCTGGCCAGTTTTACTCTTCTGGATCATTGGTGGTCTCTTAATACTTATTGATAGCTTGACAGAAATTGGCCAGCAACAGGATGGTTTTGCACCAACAAGGACAGGGACAGCCCCTGTGAACTGCTGGGCAATTGCTACCTGCCGGTCAAAGTGGGCCTTTTGCTGTTTGATGAAAAGGCATGTCTAGCTGCTAAACAACGAAAGAAGGAGCGCTACAACCCTGGAATACTGGGTGTTTAACAGTTAAACAGTTAAAAGATATAGTGTAACTATTGATGCAGACTCACTTTTGGACGGACGAGGTGGTATCTTGCCGTTAATTGTCAGCACGGTTCGCAGGGCGGAATCTGTGGCTGGTCTGTGTGGGAGTGAGCTCCGGGCTGTGGGGCTTTTGTTCAGTCCATGGATGTTGGAAGGTGAATCAAGCCAGAAGTCGTTCTGAGAGAGTGCACGATCTCAGAACGACTTCTGGCTTGACAAAGAGGTACAGAGCCTCGAAACGCGTAGCCACAACGACCACTCCACGGACCGCAAGGTCCCCCAGCCTGTAGCTTACTTTTTAACCTCTTGCATAGCGACCACTGCTCCACTGTCAGAACGGTGTACAGCGGTGCTCCTGCTCCCGATCAGCCGACGAGTGGCAGCCTGGCCAGCTGAGCTCTCATTGCACCTGACGGTGAGCGTCCCACTACACGCACAGTGTACTTCGCCTCAACTGGTCATCCGGCCACAAGATTCACCTTCCAACATCCATGGACTGAACAGAAGCCCCACAGCCCGGAGCTCACTCCCACACAGACCAGCCACAGATTCCGCCCTGCGAACCGTGCTGACAATTAACGGCAAAATACCACCTCGTCCGTCCAAAAGTGAGTCTGCATCAATAGTTACACTGTATCTTTTAACTGTTTAACTATTAAACACCCAGTATTCCAGGGTTGTAGCGCTCCTTCTTTTGTTGTTTCACATTGTCTACAGGGTTCCTCTCCCTGATTTAGGAGCTCGCTCACCCACACGCGGTATTTAAAGTTTTTTATTTATTTATTTGATTATATATATATATAAAATAAAAAACGTTTTTTTAAAGTTTTTTTTTTTTAAGAAAGTGCTTTTAAAGTTTTTTTAAAGCTATTTAAGGTTTTTCCATACTGTCCACACCTGTTGTGCGCTCGCCACTCCCATTGTTTTTATGTCTAGCTGCTAAAACTACCTGAAAAAAACTTTTTGCAAACAGAAATGAATCAGATTGGGGTGCTACTGTTGTATGTAAGCCAAGCTAATTGTTAATTCCACGGGAAAACATACACTACCAGTATAAGCTGTTGCCTGAAAAATATTGAAAAAGGTGTCTGGAGCTCCATCTACTAATTAAAAATGACATCTGAAATATTAATAAGTGCTTTCCACCGGAATAAAAATAAAATGATCTTCAGTCCTGAACATGATTAACTATTAAAGTATACACAAAAAGACTACACGTGCATTATAATGTTTTCCAAAGTAAAATCCCAAGCACACTAAAACATTAAACAGTTTAACATTTAAAGAGAAAGTCCATTATTATGGAAAAAAAATCGTTATGCAGGCAGACCTCAGAGCTAAACTGTATATAACAAGGATGTGACATTGTTTAACCCCTTAAGGACCAAGGCCTTTTTTCATTTGCACCCATGGTATGATCCACATTTTAGGCCTGAAAATTACTTAAAACTTCCAAATATTTTATATTTTCTGAAAGCCAAGACCCTACAGAATAAAATGCTGCAGTTGCAAATTTTTATGTTGCACGACATCAGCGCAACCTATGATCAAACCCAAAAATTTAGTGAAAAATACACTTAAGTTAAATGTAGTACCCCAAAACACTATAAAAACCATTTGTTTTTGACACATTTAAAAGATGAGGTTACAATGAGTAAATAGATACCCAACATGCCTAGGTTAGAAATTGTGTGCGCCCGTGAAACTGTGACAGTACCCCAAAAAGTCTATAGATGACACTTTAAAAGCCCCTACAGGTCATGAGTTTAGAAATATGTGTAAATATTGGCCCTAGAATTATTGCTCTCACTCTGGTGTGTGCGGCAATACCCAACATGTGTAGCACAATCATCATTTTCGTATGTAGGCGCACCCGACGTGTGTTTACGTGACGACGCACGTGCTCCCTGGGGTGGGGGGACTACATTTTTTTTTCTACATTTCATTTATTTAATATTATTTTTTTAAACTTTATTTAAACTTTACTTTAATTGCTATAGTTACATAGTTAGTCAGGTTGAAAAAAGACACATGTCCATCGAGTTAACCCATGTTATAGCATATTGGCAGTGACAAGTACTCTTTAAGGTGATGCTGGGGGTCAAAAGACCCCTAGTGTCACCTTTACACTTGAAATAAGCTATTAAAGTGCAGATCACACTTCAATAGCTTATTGCTGGGCTTCAGGAGTCCATCAAAGACAGCTACGGTACCGGAAGTGACGCAATATGCGTCGCTCCCCGTCCCATAGTACAGGGAGGAAGTCGGTGAACGGACATTCACCGATCGCCTCCCCAGCTTCCAGCCACACCCGGAAAGCCGATTCTGGAGCCGTAGGCGGGGCAGCGGAGCCCAGGAAACAAGGGGTGGCCTGGCTACCCGGATCTTAGAAGTGATCTGGCGGCAGCTGAGCCACCAGAATCAGTTCTACTGTAAAGCCGGCCTTCCACCTCTACAAAACTGAACAGACTCCCGACGGCTTAACCCCTTCAGACTTCATGATGGGATTATCCCTCCATGGGACATGAAAGGGTTAAACAGAAGGAAACCACTGTTTTTATGATCATGTCAGTTTTCAGATGTTTCCCAGCCTATTCCAAAATTCTCATTTTGTTTTTCAGTATGCTTTGTAGTAATAAGATGTTAAGTTAGATCATAGACTTAATACAGTTCCGTGTGAAGGCTAATGTGATATAAATGTTTAAGCCAAGGTGAAGTATTAAAAATGTAAAATAATACAGTTCACAATAACAGTTAAAACACCTGAATATTTTTACACAGCGAGCCTAATAGAATGCTAACACAATAAATTGTGTAGAAATTCACTTCACTTATCCAATGATTTGGAAAGAAATCCCTGTTTACTTTTTTATACCTGGACACAATTGGATAATCGAAGTAAATATTCATACAATATTTTTTAATTATATTTGATTCTTAGTTATGATATGTATTCATTATACTTGTGAATTTCTAAGTGTGGCACTGAAATTACTTTTCTCTATGTGACAGCACTTCAGAAATTACTTTTCTCTATTTGACAGTCCTTGTTGGGCAACAATGGAAAAGTCAGTGCCTATTGTGTGCAAAAACTCTGGGTGGAGCATATGTTTCCACTTCCCCCCACCCCCACCCCCACACTAGTGCCTGTATTATCACTGTGCAGCTAGACAGTTTGGCAGTAGACAATATTTAAAAATTAATTGGAACTAGTAAAATGAAGAGAATTTACTTTTCAGAAATAAAGCTTGTCTAGACGCATGACATTTTCTAGATATCTACAGTTCAGTTTTAAAGTGTATGTAAACTCCATCAATGAAGTTCCATTGCTCCCTCATGGTCTGTTCATGATATCATTAAAACTGTTGTGTTACAGTCGTTCAATAAGTACAAAAAAACAACTTCCTGTACTCTCTACCTGTACTGAATCAGCTACATTATTTCCAACTATTTCTGAGGACCACCCTGTTACAGAGTAGAGAAAAGGAGAGGGGAAGGAATTTTGTAGTCCTTTGTAAGGCCCGGTTCACACCTGGGTGTTTTGTAGCTCGTTCCTACGCTCTGCAAAACGCGCAAACACCGAAATCCCATTATTTTCTATGGGTATGGTTCACACCTGGCCGTATTACAGGCCGTATGAACGCGCTACAAAACTACCTACGCCCAAAGAAGTACAGGAGCTTCTTTGTGGCGTTTTTGTCGCGCGTTTCCATTGGGATACAGCCAAGTAGCCCTTGGAAACGCGCGTTTGTCGTGCGTTTTTTACCACGAATCACGCAACAAACGCGCATATTCAATACGCCTAGGTGTGAACCCAGCCTTAGAGTGACAATGCTCCATGACAGGTCACCGGCTAAAAATAAATGAAACTAAACCTAAAATAAGAAAACCTTTACAGCCACCACACTTAAGGAATAGTACGCTGCAATATATTACATTTTGGTTCTTGGGTTTAGATATGCTTTACACAATTTTACTGGGATTCTTTAACAAACAATAACGTATATTACCACTAATTACCCCTGAATGTATGGGTTGTTACCTGCTGCTGATTGATTCCTTAGGAACAAAAAAATCTTCCTTTGAAAGATAGGCTGCTGCTGTGCCTCCTCCAAAATAATTTTTCCTCAGAAGATGTGCAATCTGATTAGATACAATCAAGGCACCCAAACCAGTTGGAAAACCGAAGATCTTGTAAAATGAAATGGTGACAAAGTCCGGTTGATAGACTGCCAAATCCAAAGGCGAAGTACTGACAAATGAGGCTGCATCTAACAATACAATCCAATTGCCTGGCACTGACACAGGCTTCATTTTCCCCGATTTGATTTTTTCTATCCAAGAGAGTGGATACTTGGTGCCTGAATAGTTGCTTAGTGCAGGATAACAAAAGAGATGTGAAGTGCTGTCATGCTGATTTTCAGTTGTCTTTGTTTCAACCTCTGACAACAGCAGGTCTTCAGGAGCCACTGGAATAGATGGTATATTTAACATTTTCATAGCTCCTCTAATTCCAACCACGGAAGTGTGATTATCAGTAAGGTAACAGAAATGGCTGCCTGCACCATCTGAGCTTGCAGTTGTCCAAGGAAAAATATCTGCCACAAGCTTCAGTGCTGCAGTGCTTCCAGATGTAAAGATAACTGTATAATCATCAGCGGATGTGTTGAAGTGTTGCAATATCCTGTACAAAAGAATTAAAGATTATATTAGTTATTGTTTTATCTAGCATTTGAACAATATGAATGGGAGAAATTCTTATGACCAAACAGTAGCAATCCGAGCAATGGAACTGTACTCAACAAACAATATATTTCAACCTTTCTTTGTATTTTCATCAATGAAAGTTAGGTTTATGTAGATCAAACTAACACTGAAATGTTTCCATATTTATCGACAAGCCCACACACCTTTCGATTTCAATATATTTTTCTTAATTCCTGAAGAGTGTACAATAACATAGCACAGGTAAACCAAACAATAGTATAGTATATAATACAATGTCCATTCTTATGTATGTACAGCTTTATTTTAGCTCTTGACTCGAAGGGCCTGATTTACCAAAGCAAACACACGCATGCCCATAAGCCATATTCTAATATGCGCATAAAAAAAGGCATGCAAGTGCATTTACAAAGCAAACACAAGCATTCGTAAATACGGTTGTGGCCAAAAATAGAAACGCCCAATCTACATACCTGCATGTCGTGCAGCATGCATGTGAAACAATATGGCAAGCGGACAGTGACACGAGAAATCTAAAAAGAGTGTTTAGCATGAAAAAACATATGGGAAACTGACATAAATGATAGGAACACATTGGTATTATAACTATCTAACAGAAAACTTCAGAGAGAAATGCCACCGATATAGTAAATGTACAATTTAGAAATCCCTAGTTTGCAGAGCACTGACAAGTGCTGGTAAATCAGGCCCAATGTCTGTACAGAGTATAACTATGGTGCCCCCATTAAAAAATGTGCTTCTGCACTTATTAATAAATTCAAATGCACTTACATTTTTAGTTCCCCCTGCACAGTCTCACAACTACCTTTTGAGACCCCCCAGTGAAGTCCACCTAATGTAGACACTCAGATGGTGTGACAATGATGTTTCACTGCTCCTTAATTCAGAGTAAAGTTGCCACTCTCATGTAGGCTGTGACTGTTTGCACTACAGTTGGACAAACAAAGTAGCAGGGGCTTGGTTATCAGCATTGTCACTGCTGATTGACAAGGCACCATGTATCATCTCATCATGGATTTATATGCTGACTCTAGTGAGGTGATATTGATGGTGCATGATGCCGCCAAGGCCCATATCTGTTGCCAATCCGAATCGGTTGTGTAAATACGTAAGATTTCGGGACGTCCACCAGGTGAACGCTCCAGGCGACTCTAGCCCCGGGGAAAAGAGTGGGTTGCCTAGTAGTGGCAGTAATGGAAGGTGGGGGGAGATTAGTTTACCATAGTGCTTGGTATTATCCCACACTCTGAGGGTATAGTTCATTACGAGAGTGAGAGTTTTTGGGCGCGCTCTGGGAGAGCTCTGACTGAAGTCGGGGCGCAATATGCACTTTCCAGATCCACCCACAATGGTCCTAGTGGGGATGAGCATAAACAAGTTATGGGGGCTATCTGAGCAGCCTGGAAGTATTTGTGGAAGTTTGGCAGACCCAGGCCGCCTTGTTTCTTATGAGAGCACATCCACTGAGTGAATTGCTAGAACTTTTTTTTTTAAATGAGTGTAGGGCGTTTCCCGGGATTGCTACAGGCAAGGTCCTAAAGAGGTACAATAGTTTTTTTTAGTTGGATTTTGTCGGAGGAGGTGTGCCAGGGGTTCTATCGCTAGGACAAACAGGATTGGAGACAAGGGGCATCCCTGTCTCGTGCCCTGGTGGATATCAAAAATTGTGGAGAGGAACACTGGAGGTATCTTACTGCAGCAGAGAGGTTGTTATACAAGGCGTCTAACCGCCTTAGGAGAGTTGGGGGGAATCCCCATTTTACTAGGATATAATACAGTAGTCCGAAGAGACGTTATCAAAGGCCTTTTGGATGTCTAGGGATAATAACATGCCTGGGAGTTTGGTCTTCCGCATGGCATGTATCAACTGAATGATCTTCCGGGTGTTATCCATGGCCTGGCGATGGGGTACGGAGCCCACTTGGTCCCTGTGGATTAACAATTCCAGGAAACAGTTTATCCTGTTGGCCAGGATTTTAGAGAGTAACTTGATGTCTATGTTTAATAGCGAGATGGGCCTATAATTGTGCGAGTCTGTGTCATCTTTCCCTGGTTTTGCAAGCATTACCACCTGGGCTGCCAGGGAGGAGGGATGCAACTTCTGGCCCTTGGACAATGGACAAATGGTTGAATAATGTCACTAAACGGGGAGATATGATATCAGATAATTTTTGGTAATATAGCGCCGTAAATACGTCTGGTCCCGGGGATTTAGCGGGTTTAAGTGTTTTGATAGCCACCAAGACCTCTGACTCTGTGATCTCAGCCTCCATCTTTTCCACCATAGACCCGGTTAAGATATTGGAGGGGAAGCCCGTGAACAGGGATTCTGCCCTATGGATGTCGAATTGGGGAGGTGGGCTATATAGCTTGCGCAGGATGTGAGCAAATTTGGCGACTATGTGAGATGGGTTCGCCGTCAAGGACCCATTCGAAAGCCAAAGTTTGATGGGCTTAGCTCCCCTGGGCTTTGCGATTTGCCAACAGGGAGCCTGGTTTGTGCGATCGAGCGTAAAATGACCTGTTTGCCCACCTGATTTGCTTCTCAGCTTTATCATTAAGAAGAAGATTCAGTTCCACTTTAACGGAGTCACTTGTCGGCGCAATGTAGTGGAAGGAGTAGCTTTCCAGGCTGATTCGAGGCTCTCCAATTCAGCATACAGAGTCTGGATCTTACTTTCGCGTTCCCTCTTTCTACGGGAAGCGAGTTGTATAAGGTCTCCCCTAAGCGTCGCCTTGTGGGCTTCCCACAGGGAGACCGGTGAGACAACTGATCCTCCATTCTCTGAGAAATACCAGAGAAGATAGCCACGGACCAGTGCCGCTGAGTCGGCGAACGTGAGCAGTGAGTTGTTCAGGCGCCAGGTGTAAGAGGCCGGGCTGGAGGATAAGGACGTGCAGTCAAGGAGAATCGGGGAGTGGTCAGACCAGGGAACGGAAAGTATTTTGGCCGAATATATTCTGGGGAGAAAGGGCTGAGATGTAAATATATGGTCTATGCGGGAAAAAGTATTGTGAGGGTTTGAATAGAACGTGTAATCCCTAGTGGTGGGGTTCTTTTCCCTCCAACTGTCTATCAGTGCATGTTCTGATAAGAGGGAGTTGAAGAGGGCAACGTCACCATGATCTGGGGACAGAGACGCTGGGTTGGATCTGGAAGAGCGCCTATCTAACTTGTGATTGAGGACCATGTTGGAGTCTCCCATCACTAGCAGGGTGCCCAACCTATGTTTCTCAACAACTCCAAGAAGGTGAGTGAAAAAGTGAGTTTGTCTCGAATTTGGAGCATAATAAGAGACAATTGTAACGTCCATATCCATGAGTGTACCCAGTAACACCAAATATCTACCCGTCGTATCAGCTATTTCTTTGGTACAGGTGAAGGGTGTGGATCGGTGGAAGGCCAGGAGGACTCCCATTATCTTCTCCCGAAATGTGGCATGGAACACCTGTGGATAGGCCTTATGCAGGAATTTAGGCCTAGAGGTATCAGAGAATTTAATTTCCTGTAGTCCCACAATGTTTATTTTGCGGGACGCATACTAACTAAAGGCCTTCTTACGCTTACAGGGTGAGTTTAGGCCCTGGATCTTATGCGTTAAAATCTTATATGAGGACAGCATTGTGGAGGAGGGTTTGGCGAGTTATCCTGATGGAGGCACGGCTGAGTTGGAGCAGGGGAAGTATAGCTGGTAGTTGGTGCTGGAAACTGTAGCTCCAGTACTCACTTGCGGGTGTGCCCCAGCTGTGAGTGATCATCCCATCACCTGGTGCTTCCTAGGAGGGTATTTAGGCCCTCCCTGCAGTCAGGAAGCTGGCTCAGTATTGTGTCGCCTGCCCCTGACTGTCTCCCGTGTCCTGTGCCTTGAAACCTGTAACCCTGCTACCTGAACCCTGCTTTCTAGCTGCAAACCCGTCAATGACCCGGCTTGTTACCTGACCACTCTTCTTGGATCCTGTTCCTGTACCGCGCTGCCCTCCTGTTAACGACCCGGCTTGTTACCTGACCACTCTTCCTGTGTTCTGAGCCCTGCTATCTATCTGCAGTCCGTAGCCTTGTTCCAGTTTGCTGTTGCCCCTGGCTGTAGGTGTGTTTGTTCCAACCGTGTTTTTGTTACTTCACTGCTAACCTGTGGGGGTTGATGGGGTTTGTAGTTTTGTTTGCTGTGTAACGAATAAACCTTGTGCATAACCTCATCCAGTGTGGCCACACTAATTTGGTCTATCTGCGTGGGTACCTGCATGCGGTGTGGGGACACCCGTGCGCGTTACCCTGACATTTACATTGCGGAGGTTAGTGTAACTGTAAACTCCCAGGTGCCCAGGTGGGCTCAGGTGGCGAGTGTGATATGGCTCCTAATGCAGTATATATACAGTGGACCAGTTATGACTTATAGAAAGAAAACTGCAGTTTAACCCTGGGGCTGCGCATTATGGGCTTAATACAGCATATACTTAGCAGGTTAGTTATAACAATAAAAGAAAAACAGCAGCTTTTCCCTGGAGTTGTACATTGTGGACCTAGTATAGTATATGAGTAGCAGACCAACCCTAACAATAAAAGGAGGTCTGCACTGCAGCTTATTCCCTGGAGTTGCACATTATGGATCCGATACAGCGTATACATAGCAGACTAACCATATCTAGAAAAGAAAAACAGCGACTTATCCATGGAGCTATACATTATGGACCTAATGCATCTAATACATATCAGACCAGCCATAACTGTGAAGGGGGGAAACAGCAGTTTTTCCATGGAGCTGCACAATAAAGGACCCAAGACAGCACATATGTAGCAGACTGGTCATATCTATAATAGGAAAAACAGCAGCTCTTCCCTGGATCTGCAACTTAAGGACCTAGTATAGCAGAGATATAGCAGTTCGGTCAGAACGGTGAGAGGAAAGTTTAATAGTTTATCCCTGGGGCTGCACAGTA